AGCTGGGGAATGGGAAAGGTGCTTTGTTTTGGAAACATAACTGGGTTGGATGTTTTAATCTTTGTGATAGGTTCCCAAGATTATTTCAATTATCAATGGACAAGAACACCATAGTTATTGAAATGGGAAAATGGAGAAATAGCACATGGATATGGGATTTCAAATGGAGACACCAACCTTTCCAGAGGGATGCCGAGACCATTGGGCAGTTGGAAAAACTCATATAGGAGAATAAGCCGATAGCAAGTAGAGAAGATAGATGGATATGGAGATGGGAAATTGACGGAAGCTACACTGTGAAGTCGACTTACAAACATTTGATGAAATCCTCACATCAGAATAAGTCAATAAATTGGAAGAAATGTTGGCAACCATTGGTTCCGAAGAAGGTATGTGCTTTTATGTGACAAGCTTTTCAAAGAAGAATTCCTACTAAGGAGAACCTATTAGATAAAGGGGTATTGAGGAAGGAATCCCTAGTGATTTGTAATTTGTGTGGCTCTTGCAAAGAGAGTGGGGTTCATTTGCTATTAAATTGCTTGATTGCATGGAGACTATGGTCAAAATGCTTAAGGTGGTGGGGTTTTTCATATGTCATGCAAGGTAATTTAGAGCAAGCTTTTGAACAACACTTTTGGACAAATAAGAGGAGGAAGGGCAATGGTGGGTGGGAGGTTGTATGGTTTGTTGTTGTGTGGACTTTATGGTTATATAGAAACGAATTGTTATTCAAGGCAATTAATGCTAATGAGGAGAAACTATTCACATTAGTTCAAACATGATCGTTTCTTTGGCTAACAGGAAGAGCAGGGCAGGTGGACTTTTCATTCAAGGATTGGACCTCTTCTCCAAGGGAACGCGCAAAGAAAATCAAAATGGGGTGAGGAAATGAAAGCATCGGGTGGGTAGTGTGGGTATACTTGTATTGGAGTGATAATTATCTAGCTCTACAGATCGTAAAGAAGGAACAAACCAATAATGTATGTGGGTTCGGGGTACCCTTTGAACTTTATATTAATCAACTTTTTTGCTGTTAAAAAAAAAAAAAGTAGCATAAAGTCAAAAATATCAGATTGAGAGGCCTGATAAGTGAAACTGTGATATAACATGGCTTTAACATATCCTTTGATGTCAAGATTTTCCTGAGGCTTTGCTTTGCTGTTAGAAGCTCACCTTGCATTTTATCATATGCTCCTGAAATGTAGGGACCAAAGACAGAAGTTTTTCAGTAAAGAAGCAAAAGCATTATAGCTCTATAGATATTTTGCGGAGAAAAACACACCTGTTCCTCCTTGCAAAACTTTTTGCAGTGCTTCCTGCTCGGTCAATGTATCCTCCATAACCTGAATTATTAATTCTATTTGTAAATTCCTCAATATAGATGTCTTAGATCCAACCTCGGTTTTTGAACCAGCAGACCAAATCTGTCCCATGTTAAATTGAAGAAAACAGTAATTCCCACCGGACTTTTGTTAAGGTCATCTCCAAAATGGTTGACTGTTAAAAATAGTATATAATTATAATTATTAATAGATAAAATAATTCATATTTATTATTTAATAAATTAAAATTAACTTATGAATCGATATTTTTAAACACCCTAACTATATATCTATAGAACTACAAATTAATAAACTTTGTCAAAACAAACAGTATTACGTTTAACAAAAGGGCTGGTGACAATAACAAATTAACAACGCCCCAAATTGAAGGTGCAAGAAAAAATTCCTGATCCAAAAATTTTCATCAAACTCAATCTCAATCTGCTGGGATCTTCCGTCCTAATATAATCCAATGAAAAAGAAAAAACATATATATATATATGAACCCCTAACGCAATTTTCATCACAATTAAAATCAAATTAATCGGAATTTATATCACTTGGCCAAGATCAGCTCGACGACGCTCCTTTTCTTCTCGTACATGTTGCTCAAATGCTTCTATTAAGCTGCCGCGTCTTTCTCAATCCGTCTTTGGAACTCCTGGCATGTGATGAGGGCAGTTTGCGGCGGGCCGAATAAGCCTTCCTGAAAGTGATTTAATTCGTCCATTTCATACCCATTCATTACAAGAGGTTTGGAGCCTCAAATTGGTTGGTTTTGACTTGGTATACGGAAGGTGGTGACGCCAACAATTGAGCCGATTGAGATTGCTGCCACCATAGCTGCACTTTCCGGTCCTGGTTTGACGCGTCCGGCGTAAGGCAGCCGGCGTGGTGTGTGAGCAGGAATATGCATATCGGTGCTTTTGTAATGGCGGGAATGATATTCATATGGATAGGGTGGGATTCCGAGGGTCCACTCACCAAATTGTTATTGCCACACTTCTATTATGTATTTAACAAATTTAGGCAAAAACTGAAAAACCTTTATTAAGCCCCAAACTTATCTGCTTCATTTTTAGTTTGGAGTTTTAAATGCTATTTTTGGATAAATTTGGGGATTAAAAAGGGTTTTTGCCACAAATTTACTCTTCAAATCCTGCTTCGCGCTTGCTCCGGTCATCATCCCCAGTTCCCCACTTCTTTCCATCTCGTAATTGATTTTTTCTTATTCCCTCAACTCTTCATTTTTCACTTCTAATTTTTTTTTTTTTTGCATTCACTTTCCCTCAGACCCCATTGTTCTTCCTCCTGTCATCATTCTACACCCTTTTCCTCTTTTCAGTTTTTATCCCAAGTCCCTAGATGTTTCGTAGACCAAAATTGAATTTTTACCTTTTGAGTCTTTAATTCCTCTAATTAGGTTTAATAAAGAAATAAAACAAAGAGGGGAATTGAGTTTTCAAGTTAAGATAGAGGTGGTAGATCTAGTATTTATGAGTTCGG